TAGGCTTTATTTAGGGCATCTTTTGCTCTGCTTCTTAAAATAGATTTTTAGTACAAAAAATTTTAATTGTGTATTAGGAATCTTATATAAAAAGCAGAAAGAAATTCTTCCCAAACGAACCCTTAATCTAATTTGAAAAAAAAACTAACAAGTCTTTCTCTTTATGATCAGTCGACTTTTTTTTATATGGAGTCGGCTATATGAATTCTTTTTCTCCAGTGTGTTTTCTTAAGAGTCAAACTCTCATTTAAATCTAATAAAAATCATTTTTAATACTATCTAATCATTTTTTAGGCCTAATATTTATTATCAGAATTTGGATATAATACATCTACTCTCCTAATAAGATCATCGGAAGGCTCATGCTTTAATTGACCAAACAATAACCCCTCTAATCTTATTTGGCATTGGAATTACTCTAACCTACTAATCTAATTTGATCTGACAATTATAAATCATCAACTAATAAAATCTATAAACTATTAGATTTTATTATTTTAATGTTAAATAAAGATATTTTTCATACAATCAAATTATTATTACACAATTATATGAATAACGTATTTATTATTATTATGAGAAAATATAGTTTTGTTTTGTAATTGTTGCGTCCTGGAATATTCGCGGCAGTAGAGAAATATAAAGTTTAGCGTCTTAGCATTATACGAAGATCCAGCACACAAGCAAAGGAGAGAGATGGTGTATCATTCATAAGAGGCACCAGAGCTTTTACGTGGAAATCCCTGAAAGGGGGGAAAGCCACGGGGCATGGCCCAGTTTGAATGAATCGACTAATATTTGCAGTCGATTATAAATGAGGCCCTTCTTAGGGAGAAGGCATTGGCTTGATGTTACAAATGTACGTCATATAGAGCGCATTACATGGTGGGAGTTACAATAATCAACATAGATATGTTTGTTTGGTTGGAAAGGTCATAGTCAACACGAGACAGGGGTTCAAAAAGATCATAGTTGGCAGGAGACCGGGGTCAGAAAGATCGTAGTCTGGTGATGGAGGTCAGAAGGATCATAATCGGCAGGAAACAGGGGTCCGAAAGAACGTAGTAGGCAGGAGACCGGAGTCAGAAAGACTGTTGTCTGGTGATGGAGGTCGGAATGACCATAGTCGGCATGTGACATGAGTCCAAAAGACCGTAGTAGAAGGGAGGTACTCCGGGAGAACTCTTGGCGTCAAGTGGTGGCCTGGTAGAAGTCCGAGTCTCAGGTTGTGGTCCGGTAGAATTCTGGGCCTCAAATGGTGGTCTGGTAGAAGTTCGGGACTCAGGTGGTGGTCTGGTAGAACTCCGTGCATCAAGTGGTATCCTGGTGGAGCTTGGGGCCTCAAGTGGTGGTCCGACGGAAGTCCAGGCCTCGCGTGGTGGCTTGGTGGAGCACAAGGCTTCAAGTGGTGGTTCGATGGAAGTCTGAACCTCAAGTGGTGGTCCGGCAGAAGTCTGGATCTCAGTTAGTGGTATGGTATAAGTTTGGACCTCAAGTGGTGGCCTGGTGGAGCATAGAGCTTCAAGTGGTGGTATGGCAAAAGTCCGGACCTCAAGCAGTGGTACGACAGAAGTCCGAACCTCAGGTGGTTGCCTGGTGGAGCACATAGCTTCAAGTGGTGGTCTGGCCGAAGTCCGGACCTCAAGTGTTGGTCCGGTAGAAGTTTGGACCTCAGGTAGTAATCCGACATAAGTTCGGGCCGCAGGTGGTGGCCTGGTGGAGCATAGAGCCTCAAGTGGAGGTCTGGCGGAGCAACGACGTCAGGTGGTGGTCCGGCGGAGGTGAGGGTTTCAAGTGGTGGTTAGACGGAGCAACGACATCAAGTGGTGGTCTGACAGAGGTGAGGGATTCAAGCGGTGGTCCGGCAGAGGTGAGAGCCTCAAGTGGTGGTCCGACAGAGCAACAACGTCAGGCGGTGGTCCGGCGAAGGTGAGGGCCTCAAGTGGTGGTCTGGCAGAGCAACGACGTCAAGCGGTGGTCCGGCGGAGGTGAGGGCCTCAAGTGGTGGTCCAGCATAGCAACTACGTCAGGCGGTGGTCCGAAGAATGTGAGGGCTTCAAGTGGTGGTGCGGCGTAGCAACGACGTTAGGTGGTGGTCCGGCGGAAGTCCGGCTATGGTCAAGGAGGAGCGAGGAGGCAATAGTGATCTCCGATCTCTCTCTTGCTCTCTTTCTTGGAGCATCTCTTTCAAGAGAAAGGAGGGGTCTATTTTTAGATTTCTGGAGTGACATGGCCTGTAAATAGGAGATAAATCAAGGGTAAATAGGGAGTGGTTGGATGGATGGCCGATATTGAATCCCTTGATCATGGACCCTTCGTCAGACATTTGAAGGTCTTAATGATGTCGGAATTCAGCGATCTTGGGCTCGTTGGATTTGTCTGGTCGAGCCGCTTGATTCGATTATAAGCACATCATGTTTAGAAACCGTTTGGTAACCCAAATTGTGGTTCGAACCTTCCAACAACGCTTCAGGTCCTTGATTTAGACTCATTAGGACTCAGATTGAGTCAAATTTGGTGTCGTTGGGTTCGTATTTTTTAGGCGTTCAGTTCGATTATAAGTTTGTGGAAATCGAAGTTCGGATGGTCTCAATTTTAATTTTGTAAGTTTCCAATTTGATTTTGCATCGAGATTCATGCTCGATCATGATATTTTTTTGATGACGTATCAGTAATATATTTTTTTCATCACTCTATTAAGGGAAAGACTATAACTTTTGTAATTTATTTTCCCCCTCCCTCTCTATATTTATATAAAGTTAGGGCTGAAAACGAACCAAGTCGAGCCGAGTATGTGAGTGTTCATGTTTGAGTTCATTTATTATTAGCTTGTTGAAGTTTGGTTTATGTTTGATTCGAGCTTTATTGTTTATGTTCATGTTTATTTAATTTAAATTAATGAGTGTTCATGTTTTGTTCATGTTCGATTCATTTAGTGCTTATTGAGCTTTAAACAAACAAACCTTAATAAGATATAAACGAGCTATGTAATATCAGTTTTTGCTCCAGGTTCGTCCGGACGAAGTAGGATCGTCCGGGACGATCGGTACAGGTTGTGCAGAGAAAATCATGTTTGGCTGTATGGATTTATCAAGCCTCATAACAAATAATTACATCGAGCATGTTCGTAAACATATTTAGCGAATTTTTTTAGTTAGCATCTATTATAATATTTTAATTACTCTAAATTTTATTATTTAATGATAATTATATCATTATGTTATAATATTTATATTATGTATATTTATCAATTTTATAATCAAATATTAATTGAGTTTTATCGAGCTTATTCAAGAGGCTTGAATCGAACAAAAATCGAGCTTAATGCCGAGCTTGTTCACGAGCTTTAAATGATGTTGTCCATGAACATAAATGAGCCGAACACATTAGTGTTCAAGCTTGTTTATTTAATGATCGAGTATTTAAAATATTGGTCATGTTTGTTTGTTTAGTTAATTAAACGATAACAAACAAGCTTTAATCGAATCGAGCAACGAGTAGCTCGTCAAACGTTTGGTTCGCTTGCAGCTCTATATAAAGTGAGTTATTACCTCATGATTCGATATACATATTAAATTTTTTGCTCTTCATTATGCAAAAAAAAGCTATAAATTTTTATTTTATGTAATAATATACTTTTCATAGATAAAGTAATCCTATTTATATATTTAACACATAAAATTTCTTATTTATTAAATTATGATTCTTATAACTTCCATCCCATATTCTAAATCACCAAACCCTTGAAGAGAAAAAAGATGTGAGTAGAGATGTCAAAATCGGTCAATGGTTCTGGTTCTACGGTTTTGGTTATACTTGAAATTGATTAGACCCGAATCTAGTTAACCTGAATCCAACTCATTTAATAAAAGGGGTTAAAAATGCAGACCCGAACCCTACCTACTAGCAACTCAAATAATCAGAACCTGACCCAATAATTCATTTTGATTTAATTTTTTAATTAAATTGTATCAATAGATTTTAGATTAATGAATAAAAACTAAGGCAATTGTACGAAAAAAAATAAATAAATAAACAAGTCATTTTGGTTCAAAATCAGGTTGGCGAGTCAACCCGAGCTCAACTTGTTTAATAAATGGGTTGGAATTATGAATCCGAATCTGACCAGTTTATTAAACAGGTGAATGCAAACCCCAATTTTTGGTTCAAGTTGCCGTATGAAGTTATTTTTTTAAAATCCTTAAATGTGCGGAAATCATGATAGAGTTTTTATTGGGTGACATGCATCAATGGATTTAATGGCGTGTAAAAGATCCTCGATGATCAAAAAGAGGCGCGAGATTCACGATGGAATCTCTCTGGGGTTGAGCATCGATGGAACCTATGTTCGAAGGAGAAAAGAAGTTCATTGTAACCATTATGATATGAAGTTTCCATAGAGAGTGAGAAATGTTATATTTTAAATGTTATTTAATAATTGAGTATCTTGTGAGTAAATAATAAAATTTTAATTGACCCTGGTTCCCATCCCGCACTGCACCACATCGCACCGCATCTATGTCTTGCTTTTATCCCCGTGTCTAGCCCTCTCACCCTTTTCGCATTCGCGGGTCGGGTCCGATCAACTTGAAAACCAATTGGGTCGAGTCCGTGTCTAAATTTCTAACCCATTTGCCTAATCGGGTCCAAATCGAGTTGGAACAATTGGAGGTGGATCAAATTTGGGTTTGATCCGAACCCGACCCAAAATCGATCCATCTTTACACTCCTAAGTATCATAAATAAATATTTATATATAATTTAGAAATACATTAAAACATAATTTAAGTGGGCATAAAAAAGTTTTAAAAGTTAAATAAACATCTACACGTGTATGATTCAATCTTTAATGAGAATGAACTAACACATTAACATCATTCTATTGCATTATTCAACAATGATAAAATAGGCGTTGGCCATATCTCATTCGTCATGAGGCCTAAGAGATTTTTGTGTAATATATATATTTTTTCATTTTTTGAATACCAAGTAAATGAAGTAGGAGAAGTGGTGGGAAAAAAAGGACAGAAAACGGAGCATTTGCTGCTTCCACGTCCTCTAACAGCCACTCAATGCTCCGCATAAGGTTGTCTCTCATTTTGCCCCTTTCCTCCTCCTAATTCATCGTCTCGTTTCTCTTTAGTCTCTTCTTCCGCCCTCTCCTCCTCATCCTTATCGCTTCCGGCCGGTCTACTTACTCCTCCACTTAATCCACTCTCCTCTCAGCCGTAACGTTTTTGGGGAAAAAAAGAATGTTAAAATACCGTCTTTAGGTTGAGGGACGCTTGAAGAAGGTTGAGGGTCGCTTAGGAACGGGAAATGAATGGTCTTAATGAAACAATTTCCTCGGTGGAAGAGGCGCCGGTTGTGGAGGAGTTTCAAGTCGATGACCTGCTCGACCTCAGGGGACTACCAGAACCGGAGAAGAACGAAGAGGAAGACGACGGGGACGCCAAAGGAGTTGCCTTTGTTTCTTTCGAGAAAGAGAGTCCTCCGCTCTCGGGAATTAGCCTCCCGGTAAACGCAGCTCAGTTTTACAGAGTAAAAAAAGGTCCGGTTTTTATCCACAGGTCTGTGCGATTTTAAAAAAGGTTAAATTTTTGCAGGAGGAGACCGACGCCGCAGACCTCGAGTGGCTTTCCCGTTTCGTTCACGACTGCCACTCGGAGTACCAGCCGGCGTTTGCTTCTCTGAAGGAGGAAACGGCCTGCTTTCCGACGAAGCTACCTTCTCCGGTGGACGTCTGGAGACTAAAAAAAGAGGCCCTTGTCCCGATCAAAGCCAAGCGAAGCAAGCGCCACCGTCGCACCGGCGCGTTTTGGTTTATTTTCAGCACCTTCTCTGTTTCTTCCAACACCTCCTCGCCATCTTCTTCGTCTTCCTGCTGCTCCTCCTACAAATCTCAAGAGTCCTATCAGAAGAAGCGGGGCCGTAAGCCTAATAACTCCGCGGCCAGCGGCGTTTCCGGCGATAGGCAGTGCACGCACTGTGGTGTTCAGAAGACCCCGCAGTGGCGGGCCGGGCCGCACGGTCCGAAAACTCTGTGTAATGCTTGCGGGGTCCGGTTTAAATCGGGTCGGCTGTTGCCGGAGTACCGGCCGGCGTGTAGCCCGACGTTCGTCGATAACATACACTCGAACAAGCACCGGAAAGTGATGGAGATGCGCCGGAAGAATGAGGGGCAGCTCTTCTCCGCCGCTGCCCAGCCGGTTCAGTCATGCTGACTCGGTGGTCCACACATTCAGTTTTTGCATTTAAGCTTTGGAGGATTGGATTTGTAAATATATTAAATTTCTGTGGTATGTTTGTAAACCTCATTCAGATTTGTAGAAGAGGATTGTAATTTTTGGTAGTCTTGGGGCCAGTTGAATATTTAATTGTCATATCATATTAAAAAAAATCTTCTCTGGAATTTAGTCCTTATATATATATATATATATATTTAAAATTTGAATTAAAATATTGAAAAGGAATTTTAAATTTAACGGTTTATTTAAAATATATATTTTATAGTTGCGTGTGAGAGAGGAAGAGAGGGAATTATAACTTTATAGATATATGCAAAATAATTTATCTCATTTTTTAAAGAAGAATCATAAATTTTGATACATAACGCCCATTGTTTTGAAACCATTGCATATAAGCTGTCTTTTAAAATTATTGTATTGCTATTAAAAATTTTTATGCAATTATTGTCTTGCACTATTAGTATTTGAGTTCTTTTTAATATATATTTAAATTCTAATAGGAATATCATACTTTTGAGAAACATATTATTAGGTGTGATTGAAAGGAGAAATTATTTCGAGCGGACATTAGATGATCCAAAAACTAATCAAAATGCGCCAAGTTACTCGGCACACAGCGGTACCGAGCTAAAAAGTGACGTGGTGCATTCTGGTTGGTCTCAAGACGTCGTCCGATGTCCGCACAAAATGATTTTTTGATTGAATGACGATTAAAATTGAATCAAATTTAATTTATGTAAGATCAAACTCAAAATCTTAAGTATCCTAATAATTGTACTCTCATATGAGAATATTTCATAACAATTTTTATTCTCTCAAATGAAGACGTACAAATATTATGCAACATAGGCTTCGTTTGAGACATCTTTTTTACAGTCTCTTAAAATTTTTCTTTTGGTGAATTGTAAAGTACCTTTTATAAAAAATAGTGATAAAAACCAACATATAATACAACAAAATTACATATGCAAAGTAAATAATAGCCATAATCATAGTGATGTGGAGCCTACCCAATTAATCTCTTCTATTAAATATTAGTATTAATTGATGCTCGCCATATCAACATAGATCTAACCCATTGAAGCCTTATGATGCTACTTGTTTACCTAGTAGTGGTTGGTGCTTCTCTGTTGCTTCTCCTACTCTGTTAGTCCTTGGAAGGTGAACCTTCTTTGAGCATTTTCTTGCGTGTGTTTGTATCTATATCCTATATTGATCTTCGTTTTACTGCTTCTATGACAAATATTTTATAATTTGTTTCATAAATGATACAGTAACATGCAACAACACTGTGTGTTTATTAGAAAGTAGTAAGAAAGTCGTCTCAAACGGAGCTTAAATCTAATAAAGAAAAGTTATTTCTAATACTTTTTAAGTCCGCCTCTATCTTTCTTAACATAAGTCAAATCTAATAAATCTACTCTCTCCAAATCGGGTCATCGGAAGGCCAGCATTTAATGTGATTAAACCATCTAAGGCGACTCTCTCTAATCTTACCTGACACTGGTGCTACTCAAACCTTTTCACATTCTATCTCTAAGTGTAGAGCCACTCATCCACTTGAACATCCTGATCTCTACAACACTTAGCCTAATTTTATACTTGTTGCGTCCTGGAATATTCGCGGCGGTAGAGAAATATATGGTTTAACGTCTTAGCGTTGTACGAAGATCCAGCACACAATCAGATAAGTGAGAGGGTGTAGCGTTCGCCTGATCAAGCTAATTTTGTGATGACGTATCAATACTTCTTTTTTAATGGTCAACATTTTGCATCATAAAATATTGCAAATCTCACCACCATCTTATACAGTGAAAAAATAATAATAATTTCAGATATCTCAAAAATCATTTATAAGAAAAAATAAGAAGGCATTCAGAGAAAGTTAAATATCATTAATATTTTTTTATCTTGTCATTACAATCTTACCAAATGATGGGTGAAATTGACATTTTATTTTTGTTTGAAGGTGAAGAATAGAGGATTGAGTACACTGGGCTCTCTTCCAGTTGCCTCCAACATTCTTCTACGTAAATTTTCTTGTGACATTTGCTCTCAATCACTGCAATTTTTCCTCATTTCTTTTTCACTCCACTTTCTCAAAGGATGCAATTCACTAAAAATTTATGGATAATGGTGTAATTAACTAATTTATTTTATTTATGTTTTATAAGTTAATATTTCTATATTGTAGAAAATAATTATTTATAATCATTTTATTGTTATCTTATTAAAATAAAATCTTTAAATTTATTTGAAATGTCTCTTTAAGCTCAACAGGAAATTGCTTGTACCTTTGTTTGTAAGAAAATCAAACATTAAAAGAATGCAAAGCGGTAAGAATTTATTACAGTATCTTCTTTGAATGATTCTGTTTGGTCTGAAAGAGAGGAAAAAAAAAAAAAACCTTAAAAAATTATTATCTCATGTCTTTTAATAAAATTGTGTAGAAAATTGTCAATGGAAAATATTTTTTATTTTATTTTTTAAGTACATTTATTCATTTATTAATTATATTGTGATTGAGTCACAGCTCATCTTAGTCTATTGATTTGGAGCTTTCGTTATCAACCAAAGTCTTGAGTTCTAGTCCTGCGTATGTGATGTGTATGAGTTTATCTTAATTAGCCTAAATATCCCAAAAAAAAAAACCAAAAAGATCACAATTGAGAAGCAACTTTTGAGGTCATGATTGAGACAAGGCCAGATCTCGACAAGTTATAGATGCTAGTGCAATAAGATTGGCAAGACGGCAAGTTTTGTGCGATGAGGTTTAAATCACAGGTTTAAAATTGAGGTTGAAGATTTTGTGTCCAAAGTTCTAAAACTATCCCAAATAAAACCGAAGTAGTGGATGAAAAGTTTGTGCAATGTTTATACACAAGAACTTTTACATTGACGAGGTCATTGGCATCATCGTTAGACTTATGCCAACTATTTCAAAACTACTATAAAAATACTCATTCTTTATTATTGAGTCCCAAATGAAGCCTAAGTCATACTAGCTCGTCCTCTAACTTTGATTGTACATGCTCTAATCACTTAAGTTTCATTACTTAGGAGGGAGGGATGGAGAAAGAGAGAGAGGATTACCCACTTGCTGACCAACTGCTGCTAAACAGTTCGAAAGCAGTCACTTGACAAATTTCCAAGCTGCTTTAGAAGGATTACTTGCACAGGGCAGCTTCGATGCAAGAACCAAGAGGATAATACGTTTCCTTCAACTGTAATCAAGAAAGCCATAACAAACAAGAACTTCACAAGAATGGATCAATTCTCTGCCAAAAAACAAATAATCAATACTTTACTAAAAAAGGCTTGATAATTCGAATACCAGCAAATTAAAAAGCATGAACATCCATGAAAAATGAGTAAAGCAGGCCTACCAATCTTGTTCACAGAACAACCTGGTCATGAGATTCTATACACACCCGAAAATTTACTTAAGGTCTGCTTGGGACGGCCGCATAGCTGCAACTTTTTATAAAGTTAGCTATGAAGTTATTTTGAAAAAAGAACTTAACTATTCTTGTTATAACAAACAACTTTTTACCACATAAATTTTTAAAAACCGGTGAGAATAATAATCAAGCATAATTGTGAATGTTATTTGAAAAACAAAGCTAAAAAAAACTGTCCCAAATAGATTTAGGGGTGTAAAAAAATGACCCGACTCAAAAAATCTAGATTTAGGTTGACCATTTAAAAAACAAATCAAGTTTGGGTCCAAAATTCCGACCTGATTATTAAATGGACCGGATTTGGATTGACCCACAAACTTGATTTTGATCCGTTTACATTATTTTTTTTCTTAAAATTTTTTATTTGTTGATATAATTGTCATATTTTTTATTAACTAATCTAAAATCTATTTTTAAAAATTTATAATTTTATTTTAAAATCAAAACGGGTTATCAAACTAAATTCAGGTCATTCGGGTTGTTAGCGGGTCGGGTTCGAGTATGTATTTTTTACTTGTTTATTAAATAGATCAGTTTCAAGTTGACTGGATTCAAGTCAAGTAAATTTTGGGACGGACCCAAAATTTATCCATTGATCCATTTTGACACCCCTAAATAAATCCTTAGCCTCCACTTTCTTTTAATATTTTAGAGCATGGGCTAATCGGGCTTTGCAGTTATGCAATAAAACCCTAAATTAGCCAAACCGAAGCTGCTCAACACTCCCAAAATAAAAAACAAAGAGAAGCAATATAAGGAAAGGGGAATTTATATATCAATTTTCATGTCCTATCCTCTCCAAATTGCGGTATTTATAAACATACAACATACTAGGCTTATTACTCTCACCAATTAACCTAATTTCACTATGCTACTTACAATTGGGTTCAGGTTAGAAGTACTGAAGCAATGTTCATGGACGAGGCGCATGTGTGTGCATACCTTCGTGTGTGTGTTCGCTCAAATTCACCTTGTTTACACCTCTAAGCACACAAATGATAGATTCATGCATAATAGATCATCACGAAATTCTACAGCTTAAAGCTTCCATTGTGGAATGAGAAAAATTAAAGAGAAAAAAGACGTGAACAAAACAAACAGCCATGGCCGGTTAAGGTTTCGTTTGGTTATTATGTACCATTCCTAAAAGATAGTTTTGAAACTTTTATTTGAAAGAACTGAATTGTCTAACAAAGAAGTTAATATAGAAAGCTTTTGAAAACAGTACAAAAATACAATTCTTTAAAAATTATTTTTGCAAAAGTGACACATACAAACAAAAGCAAAAAAAAAAAAAAAAAAAGCCGTTTTGAAACTTAAAAAGACAAAATTAAGCCGTCTCAAGTTTTCCTGGATCAGTAGGGTGGATGGTAAAACGAATCTCACACAAGCTACAGAACAAGGTTTCATTTCCAACACCAAAAGATACACAACTTCTAAAAAGCTTCAGCAATTTTACTAGCCTTAACATTATCCCTTCTTTCAATATAGCCATAGGGAAACCAAGCCGCTTTTCCTCTGCCCATCCATTTCCGGAAACCTGTAGGATCCCAATATCCCATTGTCACTTCAACAACAGTCCAAAATGCTGAATCATAAAACATTTTAAATGACTTGAAGTGCTGCCAGGAGAAAACCCTAAAATACCCACCGTTGCTTAGCTTGGTTGGTGGGCGAATATTGTTGGAAAC